TATATGGAAAATGGTGCATTGGCCAGGTCGGTCAGTATCGGAACTTAGAGTGCAAATGCCTGGGAGAACAGAACCGCTCAGATCTCGCATAGTACACGGAATCTAGTGGTCTCACTCAATTATAAGGTAGGAAATATATAAATCGAGTGAACGTAAGGGTTTGAAAGGTAACTAACGCACATGTGTAGAGAAAATGGTGCATCGGCCAGTCTGGCTGGCATTTCGCACTTATAGTGCAAGTGGGGCCAGGGAGAACGGAAACGCTCGTTTCTCAAAAAGTAGAGGGAATCTAGCGGTCTCACTCGACCAGAAGGTGGGAAATATATTCATCTAGTGAGCGAATAAGGTTTGAAAGGAATCTAATGCATATGTATATGAAAAATGGTGCATTGGCCAGGTCGGTCAGTATGGGAACTTAGAGTGCAAATGCCCGGAAGAATGGAACCACTCAAATCTCGCATATTACACGGAATCTAGTGGTCTCACTCAAATATAAGGTAGGAAATATATTAATCAAGTGAGCGTAAGGGTTTGAAAGGTAACTAACGCACATGTGTAGAGAAAATGGTGCATTGACCAGTCTGGCCGGCATTTCGCACTTATAGTGCAAGTGGGGCCAGGGAGAACGGAAACGCTCGTTTCTCAAAAAGTAGAGGGAATCTAGCGGTCTCACTCAATCAGAAGGTGGGAAATACATAAATCTAGTGAGCTAATAAGGTTCGAAAGGAATCTAATGCATATGTATATGGAAAATGGTGCATTGGCCAGGTCGGTCAGTATGGGAACTTAGAGTGCAAATGCCTGGGAGAAAGGAACCGCTCAGATCTCGCATAGTACACGGAATCTAGTGGTCTCACTCAAATATAAGGTAGGAAATATATTAATCGAGTGGACATAAGGGTTTGAAAGGTAACTAACGCACATGTGTAGAGAATATGGTGCATCGGCCAGTTTGGCCGGCATTTCGCACTTAAAGTGCAAGCGGGGCCAGGGAGAGCGGAAACGCTCGTTTCTCAAAAAGTAGAGGGAATCTAGCGGTCTCACTCGATCAGAAGGTGGGAAATATAGAAATCTAGTCAGCTAATAAGGTTTGAAAGGAATCGAATGCATATGTATATGGAAAATGGTGCATTGGCCACGTCGGTCAGTATGGGAACTTAGAGTGCAAATGCCTGGGAGAACGGAACCGCTAAGATCTCGCATAGTACACGGAATCTAGTGGTCTCACTCAAATATAAGGTAGGAAATATATTAATCAAGTGAACATAAGGGTTTGAAAGGTAAATAACGCACATGTGTAGAGAAAATGGTGCATTGGCCAGTCTGGCCGGCATTTCGCACCTATAGTGCAAGTGGGGCCAGGGAGAACGGAAACGCTCGTTTTTCAAAAAGTAGAGGGAATCTAGCAGTCTCACTCGATCAGAAAGTGGGAAATATATAAATCTAGTGAGCTAATAAGGTTCGAAAGGAATCTAATGCATATGTATATGGAAAATGGTGCATTGGCAAGGTCGGTCAGTATGGGAACTTAGAGTGCAAATGCCTGGGAGAATGGAACAGCTCAGATCTCGCATAGTACACGGAATATAGTGGTCTCACGCAAATAAAAGGTAGGAAATATATTAATAGAGTGAACGTAAGGGTTTGAAAGGTAACTAACGCACATGTGTAGAGAAAATGGTGCATCGGCCAGTCTGGCCGGCATTTCGCACTTATAGTGCAAGTGGGGCCAGGGAGAACGGAAACTCTCGTTTCTCAAACAGTAGAGGGAATCTAGTGGTCTCACTCAATCAGAAGGTGGGAAATATATAAATCTAGTGAGCTAATAAGGTTTGAAAGGAATCAAATGCATATGTATATGGAAAATGGTGCATTGGCCAGGTTGGTCAGTATGGGAACTTAGAGTGCAAATGCCTGGGAGAACGGAACCGCTCAAATCTTGCATAGTACACGGAATCTAGTGGTCTCACTCAAATATAAGGTGGGAAATATATTAAACGAGTGAATGTAAGGGTTTGAAAGGTAAATAACGCACATGTGTAGAGAAAATGGTGCATCGGCCAGTCTGGCCGGCATTTCGCCCTTATAGTACAAGTGGGGCCAGGGAGAACGGAAACGCTCGTTTCTCAAAAACTAGAGGGAATCTAGCGGTCTCACTCGATCACAAGGTGGGAAATATATAAATCTAGTGAGATAATAAGGTTTGAAAGGAGTCTAATGCACGTGTATATGGAAAATGGTGCATTGGCCAGGTCGGTAAGTATGGGAACTTAGAGTGCAAATGCCTGGGAGAACGGAACCGCTTAGATCTCGCATAGTACACGGAATCTAGTGGTCTCACTCAAATAAGGTAGGAAATATATTAATCGAATGAACGTAAGGGTTTGAAGGGTAACTAACGCATATGTGTAGAGAAAATGGTGCATCGGCCAGTCTGGCCGGCATTTCGCACTTATAGTGGAAGTGGGGCCAGGGAGAACGGAAACGCTCGTTTCTCAAAAAGTAGAGGGAATCTAGCGGTCTCACTCAATCAGAAGGTGGGAAATATATAAATATAGTGAGCTAATAAGGTTTTAAAGGAATCTAATGCATATGTATATGGAAAATGGTGCATTGGCCAGGTTGGTCAGTATGGGAACTTAGAGTGCAAATGCCTGGGAGAACGGAACCGCTCAGATCTCGCATAGTACACGGAATCTAGTGGTCTCACTCAAATATAAGGTGGGAAATATATTAATCGAGTGAATGTAAGGGTTTGAAAGGTAACTAACGCACATGTGTAGAGAAAATGGTGCATCGGCCAGTCTGGCCGGCATTTCGCACTTATAGTACAAGTGGGGCCAGGGAGAACGGAAACGCTCGTTTCTCAAAAAGTAGAGGGAATCTAGCGGTCTCACTCGATCACAAGGTGGGAAATATATAAATCTAATGAGATAATAAGGTTCGAAAGGAATCTAATGCATGTGTATATGGAAAATGGTGCATTGGCCAGGTCGGTCAGTATGGGAACTTAGAGTGCAAATGCCTGGGAGAACGGAACCGCTCAGATCTCGCATAGTACACGGAATCTAGTGGTCTCACTCAAATATAAGGTAGGAAATATATTAATCAAGTGAACGTAAGGGTTTGAAAGGTAACTAACACACATGTGTAGAGAAAATGGTGCATCGGCCAGTCTGGCCGGCATTTCGCACTTATAGTGCAAGTGGGGCCAGGGAGAACGGAAACGCTCGTTTCTCAAAAAGTAGAGGGAATCTAGCGGTCTCACTCAATCAGAAGGTGGGAAATATATAAATCTAGTGAGCTAATAAGGTTTTAAAGGAATCTAATGCATATGTATATGAAAAATGGTGCATTGGCCAGGTTGGTCAGTATGGGAACCTAGAGTGCAAATGCCTGGGAGAACGGAACCGCTTAGATCTCGCATAGTACACGGAATCTAGTGGTCTCACTCAAATATAAGGTGGGAAATATAATAATCGAGTGAATGTAAGGGTTTGAAAGGTAACTAACGCACATGTGTAGAGAAAATGGTGCATCGGCCAGTCTGGCCGGCATTTCGCACTTATAGTACAAGTGGGGCCAGGGAGAACGGAAACGCTCGTTTCTCAAAAAGTAGAGGGAATCTAGCGGTCTCACTCGATCACAAGGTGGGAAATATATAAATCTAGTGAGATAATAAGGTTCGAAAGGAATCTAATGCATGTGTATATGGAAAATGGTGCATTGGCCAGGTCCGTCAGTATGGGAACTTAGAGTGCAAATGCCTGGGAGAACGGAACCGCTCAGATCTCGCATGGTACACGGAATCTAGTGGTCTCACTCAAATATAAGGTAGGAAATATATTAATCAAGTGAACGTAAGGGTTTGAAAGGAAACTAACGCACATGTGTAGAGAAAATGGTGCATCGGCCAGTCTGGCCGGCATTTCGCACTTATAGTGCAAGTGGGGCCAGGGAGAACGGAAACGCTCGTTTCTCAAAAAGAAGAGGGAATCTAGCGGTCTCACTCGATCAAAAGGTGGGAAATATATAGATCTAGTGAGCTAAAAAGGTTTGAAAGGAATCTAATGCATATGTATATGGAAAATGGTGCATTGGCCAGGTCGGTCAGTATGGGAACTTAGAGTGCAAATGCCTGGGAGAACGGAACCGCTTAGATCTCGCATAGTACACGGAAGCTAGTGGTCTCACTCAAATATAAGGTAGGAAATATATTAATCAAATGAACGTAAGGGTTTGAAAGGTAACTAACGCACATGTGTAGAGAAAATGGTGCATCGGCTGTCAGAACTTATAGCTTACTTGTTTCTGTAGGCTATAGTGGGGTATCCCATAGGGGGTACAACCCAATTAGGGTTTCCTATTTGTACTCACTTCGTTCATAGTCATTCCATTCTCGTTCTTTGTTTCCACATGGAATCAGAGCAGGTTCCCTCCTAGGGACTGCTTCTAGGGCCCACCGAACCGCGCCCCGAGGCGCGTTTTTTTTTAGCGACCCGTCGTGTCGCCCCTAGCGGACCGTTGCGCCGCCCTTCCCCTCGCGGCTCCGCCGCCCTTCCCTAGCGGCCCCGCCGCCCTTCGATCGCGGCCCCGCCGCCCTCTGCTACGCGGCCCCGCCGCCGCCCTTCGATCGCGGCCCCGCCGCCCTCGGCTACGCGGCCCCGCCGCCCTCTGCCTCGCGGCCCCGCCGCCCTCTGCTACGCGGCCCCGCCGCCCTCTGCTACGCGGCCCCGCCGCCCTCTGCTACGCGGCCCCGCCGCCCTTCGATAGCGGCCCCGCCGCCCTTTGCCACGCGGCCCCGCCGCCCTCTACTACGCGGCCCCGCCGCCCTCTGCTACGCGGCCCCGCCGCCCTTCGATCGCGGCCCCGCCGCCCTCTGCTACGCGGCCTCGCCGCCCTCTGCAACGCGGCCCCGCCGCCCCCTGCTACGCGGCCCCGCCGCTCTCTTCGGTAGCGGCCCCGCCGCTCTCTTCGGTCGCGGCCCCGCCGCCACTCTGCTACGCGGCCCCGCCGATCCGCCCAGCAGCAGCCGCCGCCGCCTGAGCCGCCGCCGAGCCGCCGCCGAGCCGTCGCCGAGCCGCCGCCGAGCCGCCGCCGAGCCGCCGCCCGAGCCGCCGCCGAGCCGCCAGAGCCGCCGCCGAGCCGCCCGTGACGCCCGAGCCGCCCGCGCCGCCCAGCAGCAGCCGAGCCGCCGCCGAGCCGCCGCCGCCTGAGCCGCCGCCGAGCCGCCGCCGAGCCGCCGCCGAACCGCCGCCGAGCCGCCGCCCGAGCCGCCGCCGAGCCGCCCGCGCCGCCCGAGCCGCCTGCGGAGCCGTGCTGCTGTTCCTCTGCTGCTGACCTACCCGCCTCTCCCAGCCCGGTGAGATTTTCAGCTGCTGTCATGGCCACCCCCAATGTTCTTACCTTTGACGCTGAGGGGAGGGCCATTGACTTTGCCGTCTGGATTGAAGACCTGCAGCTGTACTTACTGTGTGATGCGATAGATGAGGTCTCTCTCTTTGACTTTGTCTCTGGCGCTGTCCCTGCCCCACCTGCTGATGCTGACTCTGCCGTTCGCTCCAAGTGGGCGACCCGCGATGCTGCTGCACGTCTTGCTGTGCGTCGCCACCTCCCTTCCTCTGAGCGTGCCCACTTTAGTCAGTGCAAGACCGCTCAGGCCTTGTACGACGCTGTAGTTGCACGCTACTCCTCCCCTTCCTCCGCTACCCTTAGCCGCCTCATGCTACCGTTTCTCTTCCCTGACCTCGCTTCCTTTCCCACTGTCGCTGACCTCGTTACCCACCTCCGTGCTAGTGACACCCGCTACCGCGCTGCCCTTCCTGCTGAGTTCCGCGCTGCGAACCCTCCTCCCATGTACATCACTCTCTACTTTCTCGTCACCCGTCTCCCTGAGTCCCTTCGTGTCGTTAGGGACCAGTTTCTCTCTGTCTGTCCCACCACTCTCACTGTCGACCTCCTTGAGGAGTCCCTGCTAGCGGCTGAGAAGAGTATTGTCGCTGTAGGGGCCTCTCGGGGTGACCCTCGCACCCCTATCTTTGAGGGGTGTGGTCCTTCCCCCCTGCTGCCCTCTGTCGCCTCTGCCGCTGCGGCCGACCTCACTGGTTTTGAGTCGGTCGGCGCGGCGTCTGCCCCCAGCGGCAGACGCCGCGCTGGCAAGGGCAAGGGGGGCAAGGGAGCGGGTGGAGCTAGAGGGGGCGGTGGAGGAGGCGGTGGGGGTGGCGGGGGGAGTGGGGGTGGCGGTGGGGGTGGTGGCGGGAGTGGAGGTACTGGTGGCGGCGGTGGAGGCGGAGGTGGCGGCGGAGGTGGTAGCGGAGGAGGCGGTGGGAGCGGTGGGAGCGACGGTCCTGGTGGGGGAGGTGGAGGTGGAGACGGGGGTGGCGGTGGAGGCGGGGGTGGCAGTGGAGGCGGGGGTCGGAGTGGCTCGTCCCAGCGGAGCAGCTCCGGGGGTGGTCAGCGCCAGCAGCAGCAGCAGCAGCAGCCGCAGCAGCAGCCACAGCAGCAGCAGCGCTCTCGCACCGTCCCCGCCCCTCAGCAGCTCCGTGAGTGGTACTCGCAGCGTCAGCGTGGTGGTGCGCTTGGTCCTTGCCCCTACGTTCTCCGCACCGGTGACCGTGCAGGGGAGAGGTGTGGAGGCGCCCACACTGCCCGCCGCTGCTTTGGCCGCCTGACTGACGCCTGGCGTCAGCAGTTTCCGGAGGCAGCTGAGATCCCCCGCTGGGGAGAGCTGTCTAGGGCTGGTGTAGCTATTTATGATCTTGATTTTGATGCTATTCTCTCTGCTATGTATGCTGCGATTGGTAGTGATGAGGATGACTGTTACCGGTGTTTCCCGCCCGACCCGGGCATTGGTACTGCCGCGTCAGGTACTAGTGAGGCTGCTGCTCTAGGTGCCAGTGCGTCTGTGCTCTCAGGTGCTGGTGAGTCTGCCCTCTCAGGTACTGTGTCGGCTTCGGCCTCTCACACCTTCACCCTTGACTCTGGAGCGTCTCGCTCCTTCTTTCGGGACCGCACCACTCTCACGCCGCTGAGTCGGCCGGTTGCGGTGTCCCTGGCTGACCCCTCTGGGGGGCCTGTCCTGTCTCGCTTCTCCACTGTCCTCCCGTGTCCGGCGGCCCCCTCTGGCACCCTGACTGGTCTCTACCTCCCCTCGTTCTCGACGAACTTGGTGAGTGGTGCTGACCTCCAGGATGCGGGTGTCCACCAGTTCACCCCTGCTCGTCAGCGGGTGACCCACTGCACGGAGGCGGATACAGGTCGCCACCTGGCTACGTTTACACGTCGGCCAGGGTCGAGCCTGTACACTCTGACCACTGCTTCTCCTCCAGGTGCTGAGTCTGGTAGGGTCACTTCGTCTGGTCAGGTGTTTGCTGCAGCGTCCAGGTCTGGTCCTGAGTCTGCCCCCTGCTCGTGCCGTCGTTTGTCTCACGAGACCCTCCTCTGGCACCACCGCCTTGGCCACCCCTCTCTGCTTCGGCTCAGAGGCATGGCCTCGCGAGTCCTTGTGTCTGGTCTTCCCCGGTCTCTCCCTCCCCTTCCTCCGGGCCCTGGCCCCACCTGTGTCCCCTGTGTCGAGGGGCGCCAGCGTGCTGCCCCTCACTCCTCCCAGTTTCCTCCGACAGAGGCCCCGTTGCAGACGCTTCACATGGATGTGTGGGGCCCAGCCCGCGTCCATGGACAGGGTCAGGAGCGCTACTTCCTGCTGGTGGTTGACGACTACTCGCGTTACACCACAGTCTTCCCCTTGCGCAGCAAGGGTGAGGTCACTGCGGTGTTGATCGACTGGATCCGCGCAGCTCGTCTCCAGCTTCGGAGGAGCTTTGGCTCTGACTTCCCTGTTTTGCGTCTGCACTCGGACAGAGGCGGAGAGTTCTCCTCTGGCCTCCTGAGTGCCTACTGTCGTGCGCGAGGCATCCGTCAGACCTTCACGCTTCCGGACTCACCGCAGCAGAATGGGATTGCTGAGCGCCGCATTGGCATGGTCATGGACGTCGCTCGTACGTCCATGATGCATGCGGCTGCTCCCCATTTTCTGTGGCCGTTTGCGGTCAGGTATGCTGCGCACCAGATCAACCTCCACCCCAGGGTCTCTCGACCGGAGACCTCCCCAGCCCTGCTGTGGACGGGGAAGGTTGGCGATGCGTCGGCGTTCCGGGTCTGGGGATCTCGGGCGTTTGTTCGCGACCTGTCTGCGGACAAGCTATCCCCTCGTGCTTCTCCCTGCGTCTTCCTGGGGTTCCCCCCCGACGCCCCTGGGTGGCAGTTTTACCACCCCACCTCTCGACGTGTTCTGTCCTCCCAGGACGTCACGTTCGACGAGTCGGTACCCTACTACCGCCTCTTCCCCTACCGCACTCCGTCCCTCCCCCCACCCCCGCTCTTCTTGGTACCAGGTCCCCCCCCGGTAGTCCCCCTCCCCCCTCAGGGTCCTGCCCCTTCAGGTGTGTCCCAGGTAGACGCGGTCGAGCCTGTCGAGGTCACTGGTGACTCTGGTGCTGCTGCGGGAGCTGAGCCTGGGGGTGCGGAGTCTGGGGGTGCTGAGCCTGGAGGTGCCGAGTCTGGGGGTGCTGAGCCTGGGGGTGCTGAGCCTGGGGGTGCTGTGCCTGGGGGTGCTGAGTCTGGAGGTGCCGAGTCTGGGGGTGCTGTGCCTGGGGGTGCTGAGCCTGGGGGTGCTGAGCCTGGGGTTGCTGAGCCTGGGGGTGCTGAGCCTGGGGGTGACGTGCCTGGGGGTGCTGTGTCTCGGGGTGCTGAGCCTGGAGGTGCTGTGCCTGGGGGTGCTTCGTCTCGCCGGGAGCCACTCTCCCCACAGGAGCTGCGTGAGTGGTTTGCCGGGCGCTGGAGGCGTGCTGCTGGTGCTGGTGGTTCTTCGGCTGCAGAGGGTACTGCTGCTGCGCGCCCCGCCGGCGCTCGTACTGTGGGTGCTGGAGCTGCTGAGTCTGAGAGTTCTCCTGGAGCTGGTCCTGCTGAGGGTGTTGGTGCTGAGCCTGCCGTTGGCGGCCCGACTGACAGTGCTCCTGGTGCTGCGGCTGGAGGTTCTGGAGCTTCTGGTGGTGCTGCTGGAGGTGCTACTGGAGTGGGTGCTCCTGCCGGGGCTGCTGGTGCTGTTCCTGCTGTTTCTAGCGTCGCCGCGCGGCCCCGACCGTACTTCGTTCCGCTCCTGCAGCAGGTTCTTGGTCTTACACCTCCTCCTCCTCCCTTAGAGGGTCCGCAGCCTTTCCGGTCACAGCCACAGCTACAGCCTGCCTCCCCTTTGCCTGCTCCTTCTCCCTACGCTGGTCCGACTGGAGGTCTTACTGAGCGTCGTGAGCCTGCGTCTCGTCCTGTGTCGCCTGTTCGTCCTGAGCGCGCTAGTGGTCGCGGGTCGCGTCAGCGTCCTCCTCCTGTCCCTGGCACGCACCGGATGTCACTGCGTCCGTCCACTGCTCCTCTGCGTGCCCCTTTGCCTTCTCCTCCTGCTTCCTCTCTTCCTGCTCTTGCCGACCCGGAGTCGGACGCCCTTCGTGCTGCCAGTCCTACTGTCACGCGTCTCCTGGCTACTGCTGTCACTGACCCCTCCTTCGAGTCGTCTGCTGCGTCTGCCCTTGTCACTGAGCTTGTCGACTTTGCTGCGCGCTGTCGTCTAGACTACGCTGCTCGTCTTGTCACTGAGTCTGAGTCCGCCTGTCCTCCGTCCGTCGGGGGTGAGTGTGCCCTTGGCACGGACGTCCTTGAGGACAGGCAGGAGGAGTTCCAGTGTCTGGCCGCCGCTTCACCTCGTCTCGCGTCTGTACTGCTAGCCCCTGAGGGAGACCCGGATGCACCAGACATCCCGACTCCGCGCTCTTACGCGGAGGCGATAGAGGGTCCCTACTCCTCTCAGTGGCAGGCAGCTATGGATGCAGAGATGGCTTCCTGGAAGTCCACAGGCACCTACGTTGACGCTGTTCCCCCTCCTGGGGCGAACATCGTCAGTGGCATGTGGATTTTCAGGGTGAAGCGGCCGCCGGGTTCTCCGCCTGTCTTCAAGGCGCGTTACGTGGCTCGTGGCTTCAGTCAGCGGCAGGGGGTTGACTACTTTCAGACCTTCTCCCCCCACCCCGAAGATGACCACTCTTCGGGTTCTGCTACACGTTGCTGCTCACCGTGACTACGAGCTGCACTCTCTCGACTTCAGCACAGCTTTCTTGCAGGGCAGCCTGCACGAGGAGATCTGGCTGCGTCGCCCACCTGGCTTCACTGGGTCTTTCCCTCCTGGTACCCAGTGGAGTCTCCGGCGTCCAGTCTACGGTCTCCGCCAGGCGCCACGTGAGTGGCACGACACACTGAGGACTACGCTCGCGGCACTTGGGTTTGCTCCTTCCACTGCCGACCCGTCGCTGTTTCTGCGCACCGACACCTCTCTGCCGCCGTTCTACATCCTCGTGTACGTCGACGACTTGGTCTTTTCCACAGCTGACACTGCTGGACTCGCCTACGTGAAGTCCGAGCTGCAGAAGAGACACACGTGCACTGACCTGGGTGAACTGCGCAGCTACCTTGGCTTGCAGATCACCCGGGACAGAGCACGCCGCACCATTACCCTGACTCAGTCACACATGGTGTAGCAGGTCCTTCAGCGCTTCGGCTTCACGTACTCCTCGCCTCAGGCCACTCCTCTGCCTACTCGCCACTCGCTCTCAGCTCTGCCTTCGGATGAGTCCGTAGAGTCGAGTGGCCCGTTTGCAGAGCTTGTTGGCTGCCTCATGTACCTGATGACCTGCACACGACCTGACCTCGCATACCCTCTTAGCATTCTCGCACGCTTTGTTGCTCCTGGGAGACACCGACCAGAGCACATGGCTGCAGCGAAGAGGGTGTTGCGCTACTTGTGCAGTACGTCGGGCATGGGGCTAGTGCTTGGAGGGCGCAGTCCAGTGGTCCTCACTGGGCACGCAGACGCTTCTTGGGCTGACGACCAGGCTACGCAGCGGTCGTCACAGGGTTACACCTTCAGCCTTGGTTCCGGCTCTGTCTCGTGGCGGGCTACCCGCTCGTCTTCTGTTCTCGGCTCCAGTTGTGAGGCTGAGATCTACGCTGGGGCTATGGCTGCACAGGAGTTACGCTGGCTCACCTACCTGCTGACCGACCTTGGAGAGCAGCCTCGTTCTCCTCCAGTCCTGTACGTAGACAACAAGGCCATGCTGGCCTTGTGTCGAGAGCAGCGACTGGAGCACAGAACGAAGCACATTGCTCTTCGTTACTTTCTTGCTCGTGAGCTACAGCAGCGTGGACAGCTGCGACTTGCGTACGTGGCCTCTGAGGCCAACACTGCTGATGTCTTCACCAAGGCACTTGCGCCTTGTGATCATCAGCGTTGCTGCACGCAGTTGGGTCTTGTGCCTGTCTTGCCTCACTTGCTCTCCTCTTGACCTTGCTTGTACTTTCGCATATATATACTCTTGTTCTTGTATATCTCTATATATGATCTTGCATGTGAACTGGCCTTGTGGCCTTTGAACTTGTGCTCGGAATGCGTGGTGACTTTGTGATCCACCCTGAGCTTTGCTTTGCTTTGCTTGACTGGTCTTGTGACCCCTTGTTCTCCCCCACTTTGCCTATGGGGGTGTGTCAGAACTTATAGCTTACTTGTTTCTGTAGGCTATAGTGGGGTATCCCATAGGGGGTACAACCCAATTAGGGTTTCCTATTTGTACTCACTTCGTTCATAGTCATTCCATTCTCGTTCTTTGTTTCCACATCGGCCAGTCTGGCCGGCATTTCGCACTTATAGTGCAAGTGGGGCCAGGGAGAACGGAAACGCTCGTTTCTCAAAACGTAGAGGGAATCTAGCGGTCTCACTCAATCAGAAGGTGGGAAATATATAAATCTAG